CAACAACATGCTAATTGAGAACAAATCAAAGACTCATTCCTTACAATAGCAACAAAAGAAATTAAAGTGCCTAGGATATACTTACAGGACGGTAAAAGACCTCTCAGGCGAGAATATGAAACACTGAGGAAGGAAATAGCAGGAGATGTAAACAGACATGAGAATCCTACCATGCTCGTGGATCCGGCAGACTCAATATCATGAATGTCTATACTACTAAACTGATCTTACAGATTCACAATGCATACTATTTAATCCATCAGCATTCTTCACAGATATAGAAAAAATATTTTACGCTTCGTATGGAACCAAGAAGACCTGAAATCAAGAAGCAATTCTAGAGCAAACACAAGATGGGGAGCGATAAATTGCCAGATATCAAACTATACTACAAAGCTGTAGTAATTAAATCAATTGGTATTGGCCAAAATAGGAATATTGACTAGTGGAACAGTGAGAATCCTGCTATAAAACATCCTCATATAGCCATTTAATCTCTTGACAAAGCAGACAAAAACATATCAGCTGGGCGAAAGAACGCCTTTATCATCGAATAAATGGTGTGGAAACTGGGATAGCCACCTGGTTAGGAGGCTAAAACAGGCACACCTTTCACGCTCTCACAAAACCAACTCACACTGGAAAACAGACTAAACCTAAGCGTATGAAACTATTAGAACTCTAGGGAGGAAAAAGTTGGAAAACACTCTCCTAGACATCAAGCCTGGGCAAAGAGTTTATGCAAGAAGTTCCCGAAAGGCAATCACAGCAGCAACAAAAATAAATAAATGTGGGACATCCCGGATGAAACTACAAGCTTCTGCAACCAAAGAAATAGCATGAAGTAAACAGACACTACGAGATGGGAGAAAATTTTTGCATCCTATGCATCGATAAGGGACTGGATAACTAGAATATACTTACAACTCAACGAAATCAGCGAAGAAAAATAATAACCCCATTAAAAGCTGCACAAGACTTGCAAAAAGAATTTTATAAAGAGACAGAAGACGATGGCCACAACATATGAGGGAAAGTACAACATCTCTAATCATCATCGGGAATGCAAATCAAACCACATGAGCTAATCACTTAACCCCAGTGGAGAATGGCCTTTAGTCAAAGAATCTCAAACATAAATGCTGGGCGTGGTTGCGCGAGAGAGGCAGGAACACTCCTAACTCGCTGCGTGGGACTGGCAAACTAGTTCAACCTCTGGAAAGCAATATGGAGATACACTTAAAAGCGATACAACTGATCTACCATTTTGATCAGCAATCCCATTGCTGGCATCGTAACCCAAATGATCCAATGACACTCTACAAAAGAGACACCTGCACTTGATGTTATAGCAGCACAATTCATTATTGCAAGGCTGTGGAACAGCCAAGTGCCATCAATCCCAAATGGATTAATAAAAGTGGTAATCATATACATGGAGTACGTATTTAGCTCTAAGAAACAACGGTGTATAGCACTTTTTATTTTCCTGGTTAAAGCTGACCATATATAAGTGAAGTATCTCAGAGATGAAAAAAGCACCAGATATATTTTCCAGCAAAACTAGTATTAACTGGTAGCACTATGTGGGACACATAGGTACTACAAGTAATAGGGTATTTTGCAGGGGGGAGGGGGGAGGGGGGCGGGTATATACATACATAATGAGTGAGGTGTGCACCATCTGGGGGATGGTCATGATGGAGACTCAGACTTTTGGGGGGAGGGGGCGAAATGAGCTTTTATTGAAACCTTAAAATCTGTACCCCCATAATATGCCAAAATAAAAAATAAAAAGGAAAAAAAATAAGAAAAGAAAAAAGGAAAAGGCAGAGATCTGTTCCAGGGAAGCTACTTGTGTTTATATCTTTATAATTTTTCACTCTCAATTTCTTATACTAAGTAATCTCAGAATTAAAACGAGTGTCCCTAGCAAGTAAGGCAGACTTATACAGAAACTTTTGGGTCTTTGTGTCTACCCTTTCTATAAGTTTTATAACTATGAACTAGGGGACAGATTCATAGGAAAAGTGGTGGTGTAATTTGTAAAGACAGAAGTTTGAAAGAAAACAGCAATATTCCTATATGTGCAAAGATACCCCAAAAAAAGACCAGCACCTAGATAGTAAATTACATGAGTTAAATCTAGCTATATTTTACTCATCCAAGCTGTCCAGGATCTTGGAACATGATCCCAGGAGGAGGACATGGACAGATAATCTTTTCACCTCTTGCTCAGAAATGGAATAAATGAGCCATACTTAGTCATTTACTAACAGAAAAACTTTAGAGGTTCATTTAATAGTCTACTAGTAAATTATACCTCAATTTAAGCAGTATTATGCTAATGAATACAAATCATTAAAGCAAATCCCTTGAAGTTAAAATTCAAGCTCCTTAGAATGGTGGTTACCAGAGGCTGGGAAGGGAAGGCGAAAGGAGGGGATGAAGAGAAGTTGGTTAATGGGAATACAGTTAGATAGAAGGAATAAGTTCTAATATTCAATAGTACAGTAGAGATATTATAGTTAACAGTATATAAACTTATTGTATATTTCAAAATAGCTAGAAGAAAATAATTGGAATGTTTCAAACAGAAAGAAAAGATAAATGTTTGAGGTGCTGTATATCCTAATTACTCTGATTTGATTATTATGCATTATAGGTAAGCATCAAAATATCATATGTACCCCTAAAATATGTACAACTATTTATATAGCAATTAAAAATTTAAAAAATAAATTTCTTTTTCACAGACCATTAAAGCTTTGCAAAAATCACTAGACTCTCCCAAGTTCACTTTCAATTTTTTTTCAATGAGAAATCAAGTATTGCCTTCTAGCTAATAACATCACCATAACTTGAAAATATATTTTCTATATAAAAATAAGGGGAATGAGATTATTATTTCCTGCTCATATGAGTGGAGAAAAGTCTAAGACCTAATTCTTCCTGATCATGTTTAGGAAAGTTTTTCTGTGCTTCCTTTCCATCTTCTGTGCTATACTCTATATTATGGTTAAGAGCTCCAGCTCAAAAGCCACTGAAATTAAGTATGAATATTTTTATGAAGGTTTCTTGGAATAATACATTTTTAAACTGTGGAGCACAAATTGAATAATTTAGTGCAGGCAATGAATGGAACAGAGAGAGGTTATCTGACTATAGTTCCTACCTCTGCATCCTGATAATCCTGAAAGACAGGGTTTCTCTTACTCCTTTTGGACTGGGGGGAATGTTGGTTGCCTTCTTTATTGCCATTTCTTCTTCTTTTCCTGAAAATAAATTGCAGAGAGAGGAAAATATAGCAACCAATGATTGATCTTTTGGACCTTTAAATTGTAAACCAGTGGCAACATATATATTTGCGATCTCATATGAGAAAATATGCCAGTGTCCACTACCCCAAGAGGCTGAAAGTCACAAGTCACTGGGCATGAAGAGAAAGAATGTAATACAGGAACTCTAAGAAAAGTCAAGGTGTAAATTCCACTTCTAGAAATAAGCTTCACAATTTCAAATAAACTTTGGAAATAAAGTAAGAATAGGAAGAATTTAATGGCTAAGTTTTCAAAATCTACCTAATTAGGTTCATCATCTTCATTACAATTCCAGGTTAAGTGATTTTTAACCCCTTCCATAAGATAACAGTTAAGACAGATATGTCTGCTAGTGTCTATTTAAAGTCCTTATACAAGTGGTGTACAAACACTGAAGAGATATTTCTTGTGTGCTGTTAGATAATTACTGTTGCTATACCAGCTAGTATTATGACATAGTAGTGACTTCACTAGACTGTCATCATGAGATTGTGGCTGATTATTTCCTTCAAATATTTTTTCTCAAAAATGTTTTCAATGATTAGAAAGATTATATCTTCAGTCCCAAGTCCCCTCTCAGTAAGTAATCAGATTTGCAGTGTTTGACATAATTCTCACAACACTCTATTATTGATCAGACATTCTCTCCAGCCATCTACTTGGATATTACTTTTGAGTTTTTGGTATTCCTAAGAATGGCTTAGTCCACTCATTTTTATAATTTCATTACTCTTCAATCTAGCTCTCATCTCTGGAAGACTGAGTAGTGATCATGTAGCCCAGTGATTTCAAACTCTTTGTCAAATTAAGCTGCATTCTTTTTTATTTCAGCATATTTTGGGGGTACAAATGTTAAGGTTATGTATATTGCCCATGCCCCCCTCCCTCCTCGAGTCAGAGCTTCAAGCGTGACCATCCCCTAAATGTTGCACATCTCACTCATTCTGTTTGTATATACTCATACCCTCCTCCCCCCACCACCTGCCTGACACCCGATAAATGTTGTTCCTATATGTCCACTTAGGTGTTGATCCATTAATACCAATTTGCTTGTGAGTACATGTGGTGCTTGTTTTTCCATTCTTGAGATATTTCACTTAGTAGAATGGGTTCCAGCTCTATCCAGGAAAATACAAGATGTGTTATATCAACATTGTTTCTTAGAGCTGAATAGTACTCCATGTATACATATACCACATTTTATTAATCCACTCATGTATTGATAGGCACTTGGGTTGTTTCCACAAATTTGCAATTGTGAATTGTGCCGCTATAAACATTCGAGTGCAGGTGTCTTTTTCATAAAGTGACTTTTGAACTTTTGGGTAGATGCTCAGTAGTGGAATTGCTGGATCAAATGGTAGATCTACTTGTATCGCTTTAAGGTATCTCCATATTGCTTTCCACAGAGGTTGAACTAGTTTGCAGTCCCACCAGCAGTGTAGGAGTGTTCCTATCTCTCCGCATCCACGCCAACATCTATTGTTTTGGAACATTTTGATAAAGGCTATTCTTACTGGAAATAAGTGATATCTCATTGTGGTTTTGATTTGCATTTCCCTGATGATTAGAGATGTTGAGCATTTTTTCATATGTTTGTTGGCCATTATTCTGTCTTCTTTTAAAAAAAATTCTGTTCATGTCCTTTGCCCACTTTTTGATAGGGTTATTTGATTTTTCCTTGCTGATTTTCCTGAGTTCTATAATTTCATTACTCTTCAATCTAGCTCTCATCTCTGGAAGACTGAGTAGTGATCATGTA